ATGTACCTTGCCCGGGTCCTGGTCGGGCAGTATTGTGTAGGCAATTCTTCAATGATGGTGCCTCCCCCAAAGAACACATGGAGACCAGAGATTTTGTATGAATCAGTGGTCAATAATCAAGGAAACCCGTCTATTTTTGTTGTATTTTGCGACAATCAGTGCTACCCTGAATACCTTATAACTATGCAACAGTAGGCGAAATATTTCTTTGTCGATGCTCTTCGTAGGAAATAATGTCCACGCATTATTACGCCACAGAATGTATCTGTAGACGTAAATTGTAATAGTTATTTCAAATATGCGCACGTTACCTTACTAGGACGAAAGAGGTCTAAATTTTATGGTGTATGGCTTAAGAACTTCACTGATTGAATATGCCCTTTGAACGATTCGGTCACATGGTACAAAATCACACATGCTGGGACGCAAGTTGCACAGTAGGACTTCCAAAACAAAGCAACTCGTACCAGTCCACCTTGACCTACCTTTGTTTTGGAAGTCCCACGGTGCAACTTGCGTCCCAGCACGTGTGATTTTGTACCATGTGACCGGATCGTGCAAAGGGCCTATTTCACATAGTAAACTAGCATCAGTACAGTTACGTTTCAAACTCAGGGTAGATACAATTAAATAGCGTTTAAGTGTTTAAACAACATTTACATGGTCCTGTGTTAATGATTTCTTTCATTAAGAAGGTTTTGTTGCTTTTTTTCTTAGGAAAAACACACAAAGGACTTTGTTCAACGAGGTTTAAATTTAGGCGTCGTCCACACTACGCCGCAGGAATTTGAAAACGGAGGTTTCACTCTAAAAACGCATCACACGTTTTCCGTCTACACTACCCCGAAGAAATTTGAAAACGCATCAATCACCGGTCATTTTGTATCTGTGTTTGAGCAAAGCTCGGACTGGGAAATCACATGATTATCGCGACGTTGTCGTTTTCGAAAAGTTCCGTTTTCAAAATGTTTTCCGTCCACACGAAAACGCAAAGCCGGCGTTTTCAAATTCCTCCGGTTTGAAGAGCGTTTTCGA